CAATTCCAGAAAGGTCATTTGACTTGACTGAAGTTATACAAGTAGTGGGATATAAGCTGAACTAGAACCCCAGAGACTACAAGAATAGGGTGTTGAATGCATCTGAGTTTATAAAATACACAGGATTGATCTTTTTCAAAAAAGGCAACAATCTCCAATTGTATACAATCCCGTCATATATGCAATTAGTTTCACACACTCAGATCAAAAAACATAAGCACAACAAACAGGAATAGAAAGGTGAATAAGCTAAAATGTCTGAGTGAGTTCTTCAAGCCAGTTTCTATGAAGAGTTTTATGGATTATTTCACATAATGCTTAGAAAATTTCATATTATTATTATTATTATTAATTATTTCAGCCAGAAGAACCCTGAGTCACAGCGATGCCAAGTAACTTCCTCAGGGTCGCACAGTGGTATCTAGATAGACAGTATATAGAAAAATAGTCCACACTCTATGACAGGCTGGAAGGAGACAAAAAAATAGCTCCTCGGTGGCACAAGCGTTCACAGCCGAGTATATGTTCTCTGACAATAACACATGCAAAACTCTTCTCAACTGTTGGGGTTTTTCCCACCATTTCTTTTTCTTCTCTCTAGAACTAGTCAAGCCAGGACGTACCCATGCTGAACCCCTGCCTCAGGCATCCCCAAGCGCTTCCTGACATGCACTGTTGCTTACAGAACATCACAACTAAAGAATGGGGCTCAACTTGACACTTGCCAAGCTACCAAGTAAGCCATAAAAGAGAAAATTGTACTCTATCATTGCCTTGTATAAACTGACAGCAATCTTTCTGTTTTAACGATCACAGGAGAAAATTTTTTTTAAAAAAATACACATTTATCCTTGTTTTTTTTATTAAGTATAAAGTAGCAAGTACAAAGTCAAGTGTAGTGGCACACATCTGTAATCTCAGCACTCCGGAGGCTGAGGCAAGAAAATTGCAGTGCATTCCAAACCAGCCTGAACTACATAGTGAGGCCCTGTCTCAAAAACAAGCACACAAAAAGCAAATACGAGAGATGGCAACTGAGGTTTTTAAACTTTGTTCCATCTAGCTATAACCTCATCTGTAAAATGACAAGGATTAAATAAATTAACACTGGAGAAAATTTTTCAAACTCAAGGCAAAATGCATATTATTCTGAAGAGTCTAAGTCTGCCGGATCACTATAGAGGAAATGATCCCATGATGGCCACCAGACCACGGCAGTGACACCCTGTAATTTGCAGGGTTTTATTAGTTCATTCCCACCTGGCAGGCAGGGCAGTGGCATAAGTGGGTACTTTCACGTGAATTCTGTGCCAAGGAGAGACATGCCCCAGTGAGCAACAACGCACGGCGGCTTTGCCTGGTGCGAGTGCCAGGGTTCCTCGCCACTCCTACCTCCTCCAGCTGACACTGCCAGACAGATCGTAGCAAGCACACTGTGGTGCCTCGCAAGTGCTAGGAACTGTAATCAGAGTACTTGCGATCCAGCAAAATATCTATGTTCCATCCCACTTTATAAAGATACAGATGTTTTATAAAGATGTTAAGACATAAAGGTATTTTACAAAGATATTAAGAGACGAAACATGCATATATTCCATTCTTTTATAAAAAAAATAGTAAGTGGCTAAAAAGTCCGGTATTACACAGGACTTTCCACAATAAAGGAAATTCTTCCTATCTGCATTGGACAATGTGGCAGCCACATGCAACTAGTGAGAAATGTGAGTAGGGTCAATCTAGGAGAAACTGAATTTTTTTGTGCTTAATCATAATGTAAACTTCAAAATAATCCCATATATCTAATGCTATATCTGGTTATGAATACCATGAATAAATACCATGTCTTTCAAAACACACATGTGTTCACACAAGAGCACATACACATTTTCTCTGCAAAATACAGCCACAGACCCCCAACCCCACCACACATGGTCTTACCCTCATATGGGGCACAAAATAACTTATTATGGAACTAGAGTTCTATTGTCATTGGTATTGATGGTTTAATTTAAAAGGAGTTGAGGGAAGCTGGGGGAGAATAACAAGGGAGTTTTTATTCTTTAAACTGCCACTATGCATAAAGTCCTACACTAAAGAACATGAGGAATACTATCTTAACAAATAATAAGATAAAACAGGCTTCACATAATAAAAAGTTTCTGATTCTTAATTGAATTGCCAAGCTATCATCATTAAAAACATCCCTCAACTTAGCCAAGTTCTCTACATGTGAAGAGCCAGATACACCTGCCCAGTTAAGGGGAGCCATTAAGCTTTTAATGACTGATGTTCTTGAGCAGGAGCTAAATACAGAAATGATTCTGAGCATGCCCAAAAGTTCTGAAAAGTCTGGGCCTACTAGGGGCCATCATGGAGAAGAAATGTTGAGATGACCTGGCCAAAACCAATAGAAGCCATAGAGAACTCTCCACATGCAATCTTGAGCCACTCAGAGCAACACTCAGATGGCTCATCACGCACCTTAGAACTCACTTTTCTCTCTCTACTACCATATTATTTCACAAAATGACTCAACAGGCTTTAGCTGCCAATTTGTTTAAGCTATCCTGTAAATGAAGTAATATTTCAGGCTTATCCCACTTAACGTAAGGAGTTCTGTATTCCCAAACGTTAATCCCAAATATGAACCAAGAAAGCAAGTACTATGAGATAACACAATCATCAGACTGTCCTAAAGGCACAAAAGAGTTTCTAGCCACTATGAGATAAATATATTCATGCTGGTATATTTTATTTATAACACAGAATATGTATATGTGCTTCTTTTGACATTTTGATTTAAGGCTTTGTTTTAATAATCATAATTGCCAGATAAATTATCACTTAATAAGAACGCTGGTTCTTATAATTAAACATTGAAGTGTTATAATAATATGCTATGCAGACACGCACTCCCTAAGGAACACTGGAATATAGGGACAGGTTTGTGTTTTCATCCCACAAGAGTACACACATAGATCCAGAGGCCCAAGAGCTGCCACACCTCGGGCCCTGTGCACTGCTGCTGGTGCTCCACTGGCCTTTCCCGTGGCTTTAAACACCAGTGCCTCAGTGCTATAAACTGTTTCAAGGCACAGCTATCATTTCAGGAGATTATGGAGCTTCTCCTTTTCGAGCTGAATTTCTCAGATGAAACCTTTTACTCTGATTAAAGCTTATCTGCTCTCTACTTCCCAACAGGCCTATTCTGAGTAAAACCAAAGTGACTGCTAATAGTCTAACTAGATAAATTGATCCAAGCAGACACCTAAACTCAGTTAAAGCTGCTCTTCCTAGAAAGCTTCTAATGGTTGTGATACTAATTTGGATCTTCTGGATAGAAACAGCCAAGACTCCCACACATTTGAAATCAAGCAGGCTTAAATAATAACATTCAAGACAAAATTTGAGACTAGCAGCAGAAAGATATAAGACAGCAGCTGAATCAGACGTTTTAAGCTTGTAACTTAAACTTTTAAACTTGGTAACACCGTAGGCCTTAACAGGCTTGTCCAGGTATAAATTACTAGTCTATGGGCAGATATTTAGGCCAGGAAGACCAGTTTTAAAAACACAGTAAGGAAAAGACTCAGAAAGAGGACAAAAGCTACTCAGGAGAAAACTGGACTTACATGTCAAGACAGCAATTTAAGAAACTGCTTTTGAATTATTATTATCAAAAGTATCGATCTTGTTCTACTTCTACAAAGACATGAAAAACAGTAAATTGCTTGTCATGTACACAAGTGGCAAAATTACTAGTGAGAAGTAAACATTCAGAAATGACCCTCCTTCAAACTTTATTTCTAAAAGGCAAATTTGAAACTAAGTTCAGGTTCCCCCCACCTCCCCCAAAACTCAAAACAAAGCAAAACAAAACAGATGGCAAAAACCATAATGGCGTAAAGAGATTGATGTCAGGAAATGCTTTCATGGGACAATGGAGAGAATCAGGCGGCAGTAGGCTTCAGCAGTCTCCAACCACCCATGGGGCAGAGGCAGGAAAGAATCAAGGTTGAGTAGGATGAGTTATAATGCACTATAATTTGAAGAGAATTCCAACCAGCCTGTTCAGTAGTCCTACAGCCAGTCATGCGCAAGAGGAACTCCCGGTCTGGCAAGAACAGTCTTGTCTGAGCTTCCCCGCCATGCGCAGTTATGAGCTGGGCGTGGTCCTGGGGAACACAGGCATCAGCAAGAAAGTGAGGCCAATCAAGCACACCGCAGGCGGCCTAGCCGTCACACTCCTGCCCATGCTACAGAGGGAGATCTGAGAGGTCACGTCCACGGCTGCCCCATAAAGCAAATGCTCCTAAACTAGCCCACTGATTGTGAGATAGAGTAGGAGGGTAGTCATATTTAATTACATGAAACAAAAATTCCAAAAATACAAATGATTTTTAAAACTCATAATGCTCACAGATAAGGAAAACATAGTAAGCTTGCAATTAATTTAACAAATTACCTTCCTTTGTAATAAAGTTAAATCTTGAGTCAAAACACAAAATCAGCATTTTTCAGTGGACTACACAGAAACATTTACTCGAAGATACTCATCTGTACAAATTACACTTCACTGAAAAATGCACGAGATGGTGTATAATAGTGAAAGATGATTACACTCCACAAAACAGGTTATCTGCAGTAATTTCACACCAAGCTACATCTTAAATTCTATTAAAGTGAAATGCATCTAAAAGAATTAAGCCAGCATCTAAGCCAGATCTGTATCCACTTTGGACTTCATATTATTTTAGAAGACAGCAGAGTTTCTTTTCACATACACACACACACACACACACACACACGATCAACACATTTTATTTGTATTCCCAGCTAACGTTCCTAAAGAAGCCTAAGTTATGGCTATCATAGACAAATCAAAACGGCCCACAAATTTCATTCCTTCCCAACTCCTGACAACTACAAGGAAGGAGTACATCAAAGACTACAGTGTGCTAATTACCATACCCCATATTATTCTCTGGTTACAAGAAATTTTGATCTTCTGACTCAGGTTTTGTTGGTTCTATAAGGATAAAGAACAACAAATTAAAAATTAGGACAGCTTACACTGATGTATTTATTTCCCAAAGGCTGTTAAAGAGAATCACAAATACTGCTTTTTACTCAAGGGACCTTGGTGTGGGGAGAAGGGGGCCACCTCCAGTGGTCAAGGAAACCCTCAAACTCATTCAAATGACAACAGTTCAGCTGGGCATTTGGTGGGCTGTGGGCCACGCACACGAGCACTGAAGTACACTGTCTCTCCACTTCTCCTGCAGACAATGAGCTGCCCAGCCAAGGAGGCCCACCTGCAAACACCACCACAGCCGGACCTGGAGAAAACACCACCTTGCACAATGAGTTTGACACTATCGTCTTGCCTGTGCTTTACCTCATTCTATTTGTGGCAAGCATCTTGCTGAATGGCTTAGCAGTGTGGATTTTCTTCCATATTAGGAATAAAACCAGCTTCATATTTTATCTCAAAAACATAGTGGTGGCCGACCTTATAATGACTCTGACATTCCCATTTCGAATAGTCCATGATGCAGGATTTGGACCTTGGTTCTTCAAATCTATCCTATGCAGATATACTTCAGTTTTGTTTTATGCAAACATGTATACTTCCATTGCGTTTCTCGGGCTGATAAGCATCGATCGCTACCTGAAGGTGGTAAAGCCATTTGGGGACTCTCGCATGTACAGCATAACCTTTACGAAGGTTCTATCCGTGTGTGTTTGGGTGATCATGACTGTTCTGTCCTTGCCAAACATCATCCTAACAAATGGACAACCAACGAAGGAAAATATTCATGACTGCATGAAACTTAAAAGTCCTCTGGGAGTCAAATGGCACCAGGCAGTCAACTATGTGAATGGCTGCCTATTTGTAGTTGTGCTGGTGATTCTGATTGGGTGTTACATAGCCATAGCCAGGTACATCCACAAGTCCAGCAGACAGTTCATAAGTCAGTCAAGCCGAAAGCGAAAACACAACCAGAGCATTCGGGTGGTTGTGGCTGTGTTTTTTACCTGCTTTTTACCATATCACTTGTGCAGAATTCCTTTCACTTTTAGTTACTTAGATAGACTACTAGATGAATCTGCACATAAAATTCTCTATTACTGCAAAGAAATGACACTTTTTTTGTCTGCATGTAATGTGTGTTTGGACCCAATCATTTATTTTTTCATGTGCAGGTCATTCTCAAGAAGATTATTCAAGAAATCAAATATCAGGACCAGGAGTGAAAGCATCAGATCATTGCAAAGTGTCAGGAGATCTGAAGTCCGGATATATTATGACTATACTGATGTGTAGGGACTGGAAACCATGAGACTGTAGCTTTTTCTTGGAATTAATATGTATAAAGTGTAAATAAACAATTCTTTTCATTTTCCTTGCTTAAGTCCCTCAAAATATGGATTGTAAAACAACTAAAATGACATGAAATTAGGGCATAATTTGGAGCTAAGTAAAACAGGAAAGCATAGCAACAAGTCAGATGAATGCGAGGCAGGATGTGCTGGCTGAATGGCAGGGCTCGTGGCCCCAGGAAGAGCCACGGCCATGTGCAAGGCAGGACACACTCTGCCACCCCAGCCACTCAGGGGCCAAGACAGGACAATCACAAGGTGAAGACCAGCCTGGGCAAGTCAGTGAATACCTATTTCAAAATTTTAAAATATTAGAAGGGTAAAACTAGAACTCTGTGCTACCTCAAAGCACATAGACCCCAGCACCACAAAAGCAGAGCCGCAGCTTTGTGAGCGCGCTGCACCTCTTCTCCAGGACGAGGTCGTTCTGAAGTCACGCTCTCACCGAACAGAAGGAAGGGGACAGTCTAAGGAGCCTTGAGGATCAAGATTTGGGAAAGAAAATGTTCTTCGCAAGCCAGCTTATTTACTGCAGATATGACAGAGTAATACTAATCACTATACTTCCTATCATCCCATGCATAAAATATGTAATACCTCACTGTGGTTTTCAGTGTCGTATGGGCCTAAAAAAAAAAAAAAAATGATGTAGAGGAAGAGAAATGTTCTCTGGAAATTTTTAGGCAGTATGTTGAAATTGTCAGATTCATCTGACTGATTTTAAATAAGCTATTTCAGATAAAACAATTACTATTGGAAAGGCAGAGTCTGGATACAATATTCAAGTTATTTTGCTATCATATTTTTACAATGCAATTAAATCCGGATTTGCTAAGGCTAGAGATGAAAAACTGAAGATGAGCTAAGTATATTTAGTTTATGAAAGAGCCACTTAATAATTATTTACTAGTACTTTTACTTTAGAAAAAGATTAGCAAAATATTCTGTCCTATAATAAGCCACACTCAGCCTTTAATACAGATATCATTAATGTAAAAATTTAAATGCAAAATGAATGACAGAGTTCATTAAGTCAAACAGCGTAAGAGTAGCTAGGCACAAGGGTGCATGCCTATAATCCCTGCTATTTAGGAGGCAGAGGCAGGAGGATCAAATTTGAGAATGTGGGTTCAATCCATAGTACCATCCCCCTCAAAAAATAACAGTAACCTTTTAAATCTTAGACTATCTAACCAACTTCCTTTATTTATTTTTTTTTTTAATTTTAGCAAGGGGTCTACAAGGTGTTTAGGGTCTCACTACTAGATCAGATTCATAGTGATCCATCTGTATACAGCCTCCCAAGAGCTGGGATTACAGGTGCATGCCACCACGCCCAGGCTCAATTGCTGTCTCAGTGCACCCCAGGGACAGGGCGCTTATTTGTAGTTGTGCTGGTGATTCTGATTGGGTGTTACATAGCCATAGCCAGGTACATCCACAAGTCCAGCAGACAGTTCATAAGTCAGTCAAGCCAAAAGCGAAAACAACCAGAGCATTCGGGTAGATAGAACCCCTGGCCCCTGCGCCTGCTTGCAGGTGCTTTAATCCGCTGAGCTATTTTGGTCAGCTTCCTTTTCAAAACCGTCTGCTGTGTGGCACTAATGTAGATCCTGGTTTGTTCCTCACAGAGTATTAGAAGCATTAACAGGGGAAAAAAGTATGCCTGCTCACTAATGGAGGGCATTACAGGTAACACACACAAACACATGTATAAAACACACACAGCACGGTACACTATGTCATTTGCACTCTGTAACCTGTGTGCAAAAGTCTCAGTGACAGCGAGTAAAAGTGAGGCTGTAAGAATAACGCAGTGCAGATGTGATCACCTCTGTGAAGCGTGGAAACTGCATTCAAGGACGGGAACACGATCACAGGAAAAGGATTCAAAGACTGTGCTCCAGAGCGCCTAAGAGGCAAGTCGGTCCTGGGCAAGGAGATGACCCAGAGGGCTAAAGGACCTCGCCGACAACTTCCACCAAAACAGCCATCTCTTCCCAGCATGTCATTAGATAAAGACAGGCATGTTCTGAGACCAATGAGGAGAGGCGGCTGGACAGCCTCATGCCTTTCTCCCCGACCTGCGAAAGTCTAGGCTGAGCCACAGCTCCACTACAAACAGGGCAGCATCACACACAGCCTGGAGAACACCCTACGTATGAGCTGGCCTAGATTCTCCAGCCTCTGCTTCTCTCCCATACCACAGGTCCCACTCAAAAATACCAAAAGCCACATTATCGAGTAGGATGTTTATGGAGCTTGCTGAAAGCACAGCATTCCTGGAACCTAGAGACTTGAGGAACACCCTCCCTCCCTCACAGCACTGACCGGCTCATTCCGCACTCAGGGCCTTCCTTCCAAGACATCTCTACTCCAGACCTCACCTAGTCCTCTGCCCCAGACCTCAATTCTAAGAGGTATCTATATGATTTTAAAATTCATCTCAGTGTTTCAATACTGATAGCTGTATAGACATTGAGCATATTTACTGTCACAGTAGTTTTATTTGCTGAAATGGCATTACCAAATTCATGCAATATCTTACAAAACTGCCCTAGAAAAAAAAATAGAGCATTTTCCTATTCATATAATAAAACTGGGCTGGATAGATAGCTCGGTGGTCTAAGTGCCCACCTGGCAAGTGCAAGTGCCCAGGTTCAATCCTCCACTCTACATGCCATGTTGGACCTGGCATGGTATGCCAGACCTAAAACGGGGTGTGGTAGTGCACACCTGTAATCCCAGTGCTGGGGGGCTGAGACAAGAGGATTACTATGAGTCCAAGCTGTGTCACAAGACCCTATACCAAATAAATACATAAATGAATAAATGATTTTTAACAATTATTAAATAATAAAACCACTTAAAATCACACTGCTTATATTTTTATACCAACTTCCACACTATGTAACAAAAATTTATAAAGAATAACCAACAATCATTTACATGAGTAAAATAGCAACAACAGGAGCATTATATAAAAATGTGGCACTTGTGCCCAAAAAATACCATGTATTTCAGTAAGTGCGAAAAAACTAGGAAGTTTATTAGTTTTTAAAATGAACTGAAAGTTTGAAAATAATGAGTTATGCTCACTGAGTAGGCCTTATCCAATATGCCTAGGACCACAATTGTTTCAGACTTGGGTTTCTATAGTATTTGGAAATATTTTCACATATCTAATGAGCTACCTTAGGAATATTCCCATGTCTAAATACAAGATTGAAATACGTTTCATATACACCTTTTACACATACCCTAGAGGTAATATTATGCAATGCTTTTAGTGTGTCTAGGATTTGACTTCACTCTATCATGAGATTAGGAGCAGAATTTCTAGTCCTGGTATCTTATCAGCCTTCTAAGCCCTGACGATTCCACATATTTGGATTAAAGATGATTAAAATATAGTCAATATCTCTGGATCTTCTCACAGAGCAATAAATGCTATATTCTTCCTTTCATTCAAAAGAGAAATATTCAGAGAATCTCCACAGAGAAATTTTAGTATTCTTCATTAAACTCACATTCAAAGAAACTGATCTACAGAAAATCGTTCAATTTGTATTTTGCTGAGTATGCTGTAACTACTAAACCATTTCAGCAATACTTAATTCTCATTTCCAAATACTATGCCAGTATTTTATCTCACAACTGAAGCTTCACGGAAGTAGTATGTAAGAAAATAGGCAGACACAGCTTAAGTAATCAAGGCAATACATGCGCACGCACAACAGAGCGCCGCTTTAACACAAACAAATTTAAGCCCACCAGCAGAAATGGGAGCTAATATACTAAGGAAATTTAGTCTTCAGAAAAGCAGCGGACCTAATATACTAAGTAAATGTACTAAGGACAATTAGTCTTAAGGAAAGCACAATACAGAGCTGGGGACCACAAAACTTTGGAAAAAAATCCCCTCCTCCCAACTAGCCACTACCAGAAGCCAACACCTCAAATATTTAAGAGAAATTACCACGAAAAAAAACACGCTGAGTGCCGGCCCTGCCCCCAGGGTGTGCTGAGATGGGATTGAGACTGGGCATGGTGGCGTGGCCCATAATCCCAATTCCCAATGCTTGGGAGGCCGAGCACAGGAGAATCACTACAAGTCCAATCTATGCACTGAGACACTGAACATACTGTACAATCTGTAGATCACATCCTAAATTCATAAAAAACAAAACCAAAAACAGACACTGAGATCAGTGTGAATTGGATAGCCCTGGCTTCCTAAGAGGAAACATTTTTAAATTTCATGGTAATACAAATATCTAGTAGATATAGAACTTAGCCATCTGGTACCATCTAGTGGCAGAACTCATAGAACAGATGAATAATACAATTTTGTGTCCTATTTACACCAAGTGACTACACGAAGACTGTGAAGCCCTTTGCTAAGCTGTACAAAATTGCCATACTCTTGTTATTTTCTATGTTTAAGTTACTTTCCAACATTTTATTGTTTGTGTGGTTTTTTTGTTTTGGGTTTTTTTTGATTTGTTCTGTTTTGTTTTTAATCACTAGACATCGAGCATTCCTGTGCTGGGACATGTCTGGCCAGTATCCCTTTCTCTAGCACATCTCACCCTTCACAGCTGTCCACACTCATGTCTGCGTCTGCCTCTGCTCAGTCATTGGGCTGCACACCTAGACAATCACCTTCCCACAGTCAGCAGCTACTTGTCCTGCATGTCCCTTTCCACTTTTTTAACTTCATTTACTACATGATTGCTTTTTGTTTCTTTGATACATGATTATGTTTGCTGGTCAGCTCCGCCAATCAATTTGTCTTCATAAAACTGCATAGTGTTGACACTGGCAAATGAAAAGGTAACACAACTACACATTTTGCTACCTGTACTAATCACTTTCCTATCATTGAGACAAAACTTAAGAGAGAAAAAATTTAGCTCACGGTTTGGGGAGATTCAGTACACAGGAAGCTGACTCCAAGGCAAACAACACGGTGGCAAGGCCTGGCAAGCAGGAGACAGGGAAAGGAGACAGGAGTCTGACGAGA